TGTGGGACAAGAAATCCACTAGCTCTTGCTGCTCTTCTCTGGTCAGTCTTATGCCTATTCTGGTAGTTCGCTCTGGCCTGGACTGATCGATCTGCACATCCAGAAGGGGCTCCTCGGTCAAGTCGACTGACTCCTCCACCCTATTCTGCTCGAGCGGAGGTTCCTGTAATTGCTATCTGGGGCTTGCCGAACGGACGGGCGCCTTTCCTTTCCCAGCATGCTTTAGTGTGACGGAATAACACTCTTTGGCTGCGACCTGATCCCCCCGAATGTCTATCACTTTATCTCCATCGGGCCCGAGGCACCTCATGACCTGATGCAGAGTTGAGGGTACACTTCGGACTCTGTGAATCCATCCTCTTCCCATCAGGAGATTATACGAGGGGTGAATTTCCACGACCACAAAAGTTTCCATAAGAGCTCGTTCTGCAGCTTGAACTTCCACTTCCACCATCCCGACGGGTTCCACCCTCTTCCCATCGAACCCTAACAAGGGATTTCCGGTGGGCTTAAGCCTCTCTGGTTTAATGTCGAGCCTGTCAAATGTGTCCCTAAGCATGACATTCGCACTGCTCCCAGGATCGATCAGAACTCTGCGCACCAAGCAATCTGCCACTGTCAAACTGACTACCAACGGGTCGTCATGAGGCAGTTGAACACGCTGCAGGTCTGTCCAGTCGAACTTTATCTGCATTGACGGGCTCTGCTGGTGTAGAGTAGTCACATTGCCGATCCTTTTCTTCATCTGCGCCTGCCGCAGGCGCACCCGGAGCAGCTCATCTGACTCTTCACTAGGCTCGGGTCGACCATGGATAGCATTGATTATACGAACTGGTTGTGAATTGTGGGAGCTTTGTTTATGACTCCTTTTTATTTGTTCCACCGGTCGATTCTGCTCCATCGCCGAACCTTGAACATAACTCGCGAACTCCCCTCTAGCTATCAACATCTCCACTTGCCTCCTCAGGTTCCTGCATTCGTTAGTCTGATGACCGAAATCAGAATGAAAAGCACAATGTTTAGTTTGATCCTTCTGTTCGAGGGGTTGCCTAATTGGCAGTGGTGGATGAAACTTGTCTTTGTTCTCCTGATACAGCCTCGCCAGAGTGACCTTCAGCGGAGTAATCAACTCTTCCTCCCTGGACCTTTTTTTTGCCTTCCAAGAGGTCTGACGTTGCGGCTGAGCCTGCTTCTGCCTGATCTTTGCCTTGGACTTTTCCTCGGTCGACACAAGCGACGTTGTCCGAGCATTAGCTGCCTCCTCTTCTTCTAGGCGCACAAAGCCATCGGCTCTCTCATTGAGTTCATCCATAGTAGTCGGCGTGTTCACTACCAGACTGGTGTGAAATGGAGTTCCGCGTGTCATAGCTAACTTGAAGGCTTGAACTGCCGTAGAAGGGTGGCATTCGATCACCATACTCTTAGTGAGATTAAACCTGGTAAGAAAGGCCTGGAGACGTTCATCCTTGTGCTGCCTCATCGTGAATAGGCTCAAGATGTCCTTCGGCGGGCGTTTGTTCCCATAGTACTGGCTTATGAACCGATCGCACAGGTCTCTGAAACTACCAATGGAGCTCCTAGGCAAGTTTTTGAACCAGCTGAGCGCCGGTCCGGCCAGGCTTGTAGGGAAACATTTGCACATTAAAGAGTCGTTTTCCGTATTCAGGGCCATTTTCAACTGGATATGATACACATGATCGATTGGATCGGTCGTTCCGTCGAACAGAATAAAGACTGGCATAGCAAACTTCCTTGGATGCGGGGCATTCAAGATCTCGTCGGTGAATGGTGAATCCACCGTCCGAGCTGCGGATCGGAGAGCTTCATTCTCTCTCTGGAGTCCAGCGGTAGCTCTGTGAGTTACGGTTCTGCCCTCCGAACCGTGATGAGTGATAGTAACCATGGAGGGCCGGTAAGACGGATCGAACAACCGTTCCTCTATGAACTCTCTTTGCCAAGGCGACGCTATTCGACGGCGATCAGCCTCCATCACTTCCTCTCGGTCGAACCTTTCCCGCTGCGGATCAACGTGAGCCGATCCTTCGTGATCTTCAACTCGACGAACATTTGGCGGCAAATTGTCCATCATCCTTTCATCACGGTGGTGAGCTGGCTGATTGTTCTCGTCCCGTTCGCCTTGATGCGCGATATTAGATTGAACACCTCCTTCTCCGACTGGAAGTGGATGTGAAACCGCAGGTATTTGCCGATGTTGCAGTCCAGCTTTCAATTCCGCATTCTCTTTTTTGAGAGCTTCAATCAAGTTCATCAACTCCTCAAGCTTTGTTTGCTGGACAGCCTCCATCGGATTGGAGCTTTCACCTATCATTATTCCCGAACGGAGTAAAGGCATTAATCTCAAGTTCGCGAGTAGATCCGAGCTTCGTGAGTAGGAATTTTTAGATCTGGCTTCTAATTCTCCGAATTATGCTCACTGTTTACGAGATCTGAATTGTCTGAACTCTAAATCCGTCAGATCCTGTCACAATCGAACAACTCGTAGTTGCGTAGATCTGAAGTCACTCCTGCCAAAGCTTCAAGAATTGTTATTCCTCCAGAGTAGGTCACAATCGCTCAGATCTGGATTCAAATCCCAAAGATCGAGTCTCGATCAACCGAATTGGTTTGAATCCATTCGATATTCCTCATTGATCAACCAAACTTCCATGCGTTTCCCACAGACGGCGCCAATTGAAGATGCAAGAAATTCCTTCTCCTCTTTCTTTCTCTAGAATTCTTACACCTCAACCTAAAAAGATCCCTCTCCTTTCCATTCCATATCCTATTTATAGATATTTACAAGATATTTACAAGATATTTACTGATTGCTGGATCTGGGCCTATTCCTCCGTAAGCCCTGGTCACCTTTGATGGGCTTACTCCCGTTCGGCCCGTATGGCAGTGTCTTTCTATGGGCTGACCCAGCTGTACGGACTGAATGTTGTGTTTGCGAGTCGGATCTGGCCCATGTCATCCGGGGCCTCCTCAGTATGATTGTAATGAACTTTATTATTATTAATCTTAATGAACTTTATTATACATATGTTCTGACCGGCACTTCTATGTATAGAGGTTGGATTAAAGATAATCTCTCTATCACATGCACAGTCAAACAAAAAAAATAAAATAAAAAACAAAACAAAACAAAATTAGGGCTTTAAAACTCGATTCAGTCCTTCAAGTACTTGAACAGGATTGGATCAAATCGACTGATAACAGTTAGTATGTTGACAAGCTCATTTAAAATTGGTTATTATTGAAAAATCCAATGAATTAACCGTTTCAACTGGGAATTAAGAAAACAAATATTACTAGTATTTAACTCGCTACACTCAAACACACTTTACACACATTTTTTTTCCATTCAGGACTCACTTTTCTCTCTTTATCACTCGCACATTCTTTAATCTTTACTATCTTGCTTTTCCTTTTATTCTTTAACCATCTCACACTCACCGCAGAGGAATCAAAATTCTCTCGAGGAACGTACTAACGTACTTTTTCTGCGATTATTTGTGGTGTATAAAACTTTATCACTTTCAATGGTGTATTTCTCACTTATAATAGTTAAATTTTACTTATGTTCATTTGTCTAAAAAATGTTAAAATTCATCATTTAAAATTTTAAAAATGGTAAACTTTATATTGTTAAAAATCCAAAAATGATGAAATTTACTATTTAAAATTTTGAGGTGAAGTTTATGGTCGTAAAATTCATTGTTAAAATTGGTGAAATTAATTATTAAAAGTGGTAAATAAAATTGCTATGTTCTTTGCAATGAAAAGCTATCAGAGAGGTTTCGATTCCCGACTAAAGAATTTTTTTTTTTTTTTCCTGTCCAGCAAACAAAGAAAACACAAAAAAGGAAAACAAAAAACAAAACCAACCCACTAAGCACCATGGTCCAGAGTATCCAAATCAATAGCCTTCAGCACAAACTGAGAGGGTATTGCCAATTGACTGATAATGTGAGCAACTGAATTGTTCTCCCTTGGCGTCCACCCAAGACGAAAATGAAAATTTTTCTACAACATGAAATGGATATCTTCCAATAAAGGAAATGAGAGGGGGTAAGGATGGGTAGAAATGATGGATAAGCAATAACCTTCTATATCCACCTTATCATAACCCCATAGGATTAGCAACTTCAATCCTTCACGGAGAACCCAAGCCTCAGCGACCTCTGAACTAGCCACATGAGAAATAAAAACAGATGCAATTCTAATTGGATTACCGTCAGAATTTCTCACAATAAGACCACCGCCAACGACTTTTGAAAAAGATAAGGCTGCATCAAAATTGAGCTTAACTCGACCCCCAGTTGGATGAACCCAGTGAGAGGGAAAAGCCAACCAAGAAGGAGAAATCATGCAGGAAAACCTTGATCAAGAAAAGCCCAAAACTCATTAAAATTAAATAAAGCTCAATCCACAATATTCTTGGGATTCCATTTGATTCCATTGAAACAAAAGTCATTTCTTGCCTTCCAAATCTACCAACACATAAATGAAAACAAACTGATAAGTTAGTTAAAATAATCAGCTTTCTTCCACTGATCCAATAAATTGCACCAAACCGCCTGCCAAGAACTAGAAGCCTCATTATTGAAGTCCAGACACAATAGACTATATTTCCAAGCAGCTAGAGCAATAGGGCATTTACAAAACATATGAAGAGAAGATTCATCTTCCAACCCATAAACTTTACAAATAGCTTCAGATACGACATGAATTTTTTTAAGATTCAGCATGACTGGTAAGCGATCCATACAACCTTGCCAAATGAAAAATTAAATCTTTCTCTTAGTTTTAATTTTCCAAATTTCCTTCCATTTGGGGAGAAACTCTTGATCAATACTACGACATGGATGACCTAAAGATCGAAAAGGTTAAAGATCAGAATCAATGACTGCCTTATAAGCACTTCGAACACTAAACATCCCATTCCAAGATAAACCTCAAATTTTGACATCTTCACCACCGAACTCTCTAAGTGGAATTTAAAGGATAAGCGCTGCATCTCTTTCATTGAAAATTCTGACAACTAAATCATACTTCCATTGCTTGAGATCATGGTTAATAAGATCCGCAACTGTAGAAATTGAAGAGGATCCGGGCTTGGGGGATGTCACAAAAAAACTATTCGGATCAGGAAGCCAGGAATCTGTCCAACAATCAATTTTACTTCCATCCACCACTCTCCACTTCCATGATCTACTCACAAGAGCTTTCGCAGCACAAATTCCCTTCCACACCCAAGAAGCTGACTTACGGCAATAAAAATTAAGAAATGAACAGGATGGGAAATACTTACTTTTAAGAAAATGAAACAGTAAAGAACCATCAGAACTATGCATTCTCCATGCCAATTTGGATAGTAATGCAAGATTAAATGCTTGTAAATCTATAAAGCCCAAACCACTAATAGCCTTTGGAGTACAAAGCTTCGACCACCCGACCCGCTTGATATGAGAACTCGATTCCTTTCCACTCCACCAAATATTCCTCATCTTTTTTGAGAGATTGTTACAAGTACAAAAAGGAAGTTTAAAGCACGACATACAAATAATTGGGAAGCGAAGCTATAGCAGACTTAATAAGAACTTCCCTTCCTGCTTTTGAAAGCATCTCCCCCTTTACGTGTTTAATTTTTGAACTAATGCGCTCCGAGAGAAAATTAAATGAAGCTAATTTGGAACAGTCAAGAATTGATGGAAGGCCCAAATAAGCATTTTTCCGACCATTTTCATCGATACCCAGAATGCCACTTAATTGAGATCGGAGCTGGGGAGAGACATTTGGACTAAAAAATGCCCCCGACTTATCATAATTGATTGACGACCAGAGAGAGCTTCATATTTAGTCAAAATGCTCTTAAGATACAGAGCTTCTTCGCAGTTAGCATGTCAAAAAAGTAAAGCGTCATCCGCAAAAAGGAGGTGGGTAATGGAAGGAGATTCACGGCTCACCTTAACCCCACTGATAAGATTTCTGTTAATGGCATTCTGGAGAAGCAAAGAAAGCCCTTCAGAGCAAAGAAGGAAGAGATGGGGGGAAAGAGGATCCCCTTGTCTCAACCCTCTAGAAGGAGTAAAAAGACCCCCTGTTTCACCATTGATTTTTATTGAGTATGAAACTAAACTAATACAGGACATCATGAGTTGAATCCACTGATCTGAAAATCCCCAGCATTTCATCATCTTCTTTAGGAATTCCCACTCCATACGATCATACGCCTTGATCATGTCAAGCTTCAAAGCCACCATTCCTGTTCTTCCTTTTTTCCTCTTAATATAATGCATCAATTCTTGGGCAATAATGATATTATCATGTATGATACACCCGGGAACAAAGGCACTTTGGTTGTGGCTTATCAGATCGGAGAGATACTGTTTCAATCTGTTTGCAAGTGCCTTAGAAAAAATTTTGTAAGAAACATTACATAATGAAATTGGACGAAAATGACAAACCTGTGTGGGATTCCTCACCTTTGGAATCAAAGAAATATTGGTTTGATTTAACTGCTTGAGAAGAAAGCCGGTATGCAAAAAAGAATTGAAAGATCTTACCAAATCGCCTGTAATGATGTCCCAATTAACTTGGAAAAAGAAGGGAGAAAATCCGTCCGGACCCGGAGTCTTCAATGGACCCATATCTTTTAAAGCCAACCACATTTCTTCTTCAGATCCTGGTTTTAGTAATTCTTCATTTATAGCATTAGTTATTTTAATACGGATCATATCCCAAAAGGAATCATCTATATGAAAATTTGCTGATGAAGAGAATAGATTAGAAAAATATGCTTCAATAATGCTTCTGATCTCTTGCTTAGAATCTTTCATTTCCCATAGGGATCTTCAATGCCAGAAATTGAATTTTTCTGTCGTCGAATCATAGTCTTTATGTGGAAATAGCTAGTGTTCTTGTCGCCATGCATCAGCCATGAGATCCTAGACTTTTGTTTCCAGTGAAGTTCCTCATCCCTCCAAGCTTTGCCCAATTCCATTTCAAGACAAAGACACAGTTGTCTGTCCCCACCATCCACCCCTTTTAACTCCGCTATTTGCCTTTGAAGATCATTAATAGTTTGCGCTAAATTACTCTTACGATTAGATTTCCATAATTTAAGTCGATTTTTGCAGAGCATAAACTTTTCCTTTAAAACAAACATAGAGGAGCCATTAACAGGAGTCTCCCAAGAACTTTTGATTAACTCTTTAAATGATTCCTCCTGAACCCATCTGGCGTCGAACTAAAATTGACATTTGGTGCCCGAGATTTCTTGATTAAAATCCAACAATAATGCTAGATGATCAGAGCCTGATACTTGGAGATTATTTAAAGCACAATGAGAAAATGAGCTCAACCAAGATTGAGTAGCCAAACCTCTGTCCAGTCGAGCTCTAATCTTTTTACCCGGTTCCCTATTATTACACCAGGTAAAGGGGTCTCCTTTAAAACCCAAATCCAGCAAACCACAATCTTCTACTAAACTTCTAAAGCTCCTAAGCATCCAGCTCCTTTGACGAACCCCACCTTTTTTTTTTCCTCGGCATGAAGAATCGAATTGAAGTCCCCCATTAATAACCACTTATGCCCAATCTGAGTCTGTAGTGAGCGGAGATAATTCCACTGTGAATTTCTGATACTGTCATCACAAGAGGCATAAATACCCGAGAAAAACCAATCACCAATCGGACCACCCTGTGAAAGTCGTTACTATCAATGACTTGAAGTCCCCAATTGTCTTTGTAAAATAAAGCCAAACCGCCCGATAAACCATTAGAGGGGATAACAAACATTTCAAATTGACCACACTGACGACGTAATTGCTCTAACCTTTCCACATTATTCTAAGTCTCAACCAAGAAAACCATAAACGAAGAGTATTAATTAATCTGCACAACTGAGAAACTGTTACGGGGTTCCCCGCACCCTGACAATTCTAGACGAGAACCTTCATGAAGAAAGAGTGATGGAAATTCGAATGAACCCAGAAAGAGGAAAGACAGTAATCAGGAATTGAGAAGGATAGAAACAAGTCCCCACCCAACGAACAAAACCCTAGACACAATAGAGAACAGCATACCACCACACCATAACCCCAAGTGCACATACAAACACCCCAAAAACTAGCGTCCACACAATCTAGAACTCGCCCTAGACAACCCAGCAAAGAAATCGCAAACCCGAACCCAAATTTTAAGCTAGCCCCAATCCTCACAGCAAGCCACAACACAGAGACCAAAAGAAACACAAACACAACCCCAACTATAATACAAGAGACAACACCAGCTAGCAGAAAAGAAAGAATAGAAGGAATACCTGAAAAAACACGAGCAACAGAGAAGAGAAGGGGCATCCTGAACCCACACACCAAGCAATCGGCAATCAGGTGGAAGAAGGAGTTCCAACCACCAACATCATCAACAAAATCGTCCCTAAACAAAGAAGCAGGCAACACCACTCTCAAGCAAAGCGCTGATCACAGAGAAACCTCAACTGCAGCGAGGAACAAAACAACCAGCTGATCAAATTGGAGAAGGAGATCCAACCACCAATAACAGCCACAAACCATCCCCAAACAGACAATCTAAAAGACACAACGCTTGATAGAACGAGCAAACCTCTGATCACAGAGAAACCTCAACGGCGGCGAGGGTTTGCAATCTTCTGTACTTTGTTGCTAGTCAATATGTTACTCTGTATAATGCATGTTTTCCTTTCCCCGTCTAAAGAATTGGGTAGAGAGCATATCTTTGGCATTAACGTACTCTTTTCTCTCTTTGTTGTGAGTGAAAACAAAAACAAAAAACAAACTACAGTATGTTCTCTCACTCAAAAAATGAAAATTACCACCATCTTGTAGTTTGAGGTTCTTCTGTAGTTTTACTGAACATGGCAATTGTTCTTTTTTCGAACTGTAATTTTATTTTTTGAACGGTGAAGGCAATTGTTCTTGTTAGTCAATGCTTGTAGGTGTCAAATAATGGCTCACAAAATTTTTTTCACACACAACAAAGATATGAAAAAAAAAAAAAAAAAAAAAAAAAAAAAAAAAAAAAAAAAACACAAGGACGAGTGGATAACTTATTATTGGCAATTTTTTGATTGGCCTATAAACTTAATGGTACATTAAACATAAAATTTGTACGCGAATATTGCAAATTTCACTGCAAGCCAAACACATTGCTCAGACACTATAGCTTAAAGCAACCGGTGTAGTGGTTGTTTTGCTAGCTGGAAAGTGAGAGGGGCGGCTAGTTTGTTATTTGGTATGAGGCTAGCAAATGGATCCCATGTAAAGAATAATTAAAGCAATATTCACGGATAACATACCTATTGCGAGTGATGACTGGGCCCACAAATTGCAACTGCTCTTTAATTTTTTTTTCTTTTGCTTTTTTGACCTTTACTATTTCTTTTTTATGTAATTTATTTTTATTGTAAAAATTTTTTTTATGATTTTGATTATTTTATTTTTTATTTTTATTTTCAAATAAATATGTATGATTTCTATTTTTTTGTCTTTTGATTTTTTTTTTTTTTTGAATTTGTCAACAAATATATAAGAATTTTTTTTTTTTTTTTTCAAATAATACTGTTAGAGATGGGTTTTTTTCTTTACTATTTCCTTTTATATGTAATTTATTTTTATTGTAAAAAAAAATATTTATGATTTATGATTTTGATTATTTTATTTTTTACTTTTATTTTCAAATAAATATGTATGATTTCTATTTCTTTGTCTTTTCAAATTTTTTTCTTTAAAATTTGTCAACAAATATATAAGAAAAAAAAAATTAAATAATATTTTATTCATCTCAACCAAACAATATGAAGAAATACATTTTACTCAATATTATCGTTAAACTTCTTCATTGTCAAATTTATTCCACAAATGCTCCATCAAATCTCTCTTGAGATCCTCATTGTTTTCTGCATTGCGAATCTACTGAGGCGAGTGGAAATGTGTGCTACAAAAAATGATCCGTCTCAATTGTACGGTGGAAAGTAAATCAGCTCATCCGTCGGAGGTGTTCATTCCAAAAAGTTAGGATCGCCCTTATCTTCTATAATCATATTGTGCAATATGATGCACGTTCTCATTATCTTGCTTAGGTCTTATTTCTTCCAATAATATACTGGTCCATGCATTATAGCTATAACAACCCACTCCACTATATGGTATGATATTGTTCGTTTTGAGCCTGAGTCCGCACGGTTTTACTATTGGGCTTTACCTCAAAATGCCTCATACCAATTGGAGTGACACACCTACATATAAGCACCCTTTCCCAGGCAATGTGAGATTGTGCACCCAAAACTCGCCAGTGTGGTAACCTGTCAGTGTCTCACACCCGCCCACAGGGTCATCACAATCAACCCCCCACGAAAGCCCGGTGTCCCGGTCAGCACACTTCCGACTGGATCTGGCTTTAATACCATTTGTAACGACCCACTCCACCACATGGTATGATATTGTTCGTTTTGGGCCTGAGCCCGAACG